ACGATAGGTGGTTTAAAAATGGCCCTAGATTTAACGGAAGGGTAATTTAGTGATTCCTAGTGGAATGAAGGTATTTATCAAATTGATCCAATAATGCGTGGATTATAATTCTTGCTGTTCTTCATTTCACAGAATTCAAGTCTCTTCCTTTATTTTCAGCACTAGTTAAGGCTCTTAAGAGGTTTTTATTGAGCACACCAAAGAATCTCATTCATCCCTCCACCACTTTATCAAAGTTTTTTTTGGGAGAGAACATCCCTCAATCCATTTGACAGGAATGGAACATCCTGCAGTTTGCAGGGGGTTGGATTTGATGACTGCTTCTGGTCCGCTGACTGGAGGTTGGGGATCCCTGCCCTATACATCCTATCCATCCATCCATGCATCCATCCAGTGGTGGGATTCAAATACGTGAACAACCAGTTCTCTGCGTGGATGCCGCTTCCGGAAGTCCGTTCTGAGCCTGGGCCTCCGAGGCCCAGATTGGACTTCTGGAAGCGGCATCCATGCACTTCCGGCGGGCCATTCTGGGCCTGGAAGGCCTCCTCCAGGCCTTCGAGGTCCAGAACGGATTTCTGAAAGTGGCGTCCACGCACTTCTGGAGGGCCGTTCTGGGCCTTGCGAAAAAGGGCTAGGGCTTCAGCAGGCACCATCCGGTTCGCTGAACTCAACAAAAAATTAGCTACTTGTTCTACTGAACCGGTGCGAACCGGCTGAATCCACCATGGCATCCATCCATCCATCCATCTGACAGGAGTTGATGTTTTAATGGCTATCTATCTATCTATCTATCTATCTATCTATCTATCTATCTATCTATCTATCTATCTATCTATCTATCATCCATCCGTCCATCCATACATCCGACAGTTGACGTTTTACTGCCTGCCTGCCTGATCTATCTATCTGTCTGTCTGTCTTATTTAGCTATGTTAAATATCTATCTGTATCAGTCATTTTCCTATCTCTCTTATCTATCTATCTATCTATCTATCTATCTATCTATCTATCTATCTATCTATCTATCTATCTATCTATCTATCTGTCCATCCATACACCCAACAGTTGACGTTTTATTGCCTGCCTGCCTGCCTGATTTATCTATCTGTCTGTCTTATTTAGCTATGTTAAATATCTATCTGTATCAGTAATTTTCCTATCTCTATGTATCTATGTATCTATGTATCTATGTATCTATGTATCTATGTATCTATCTATCATCCATCCGTCCATCTATACATCTGACAGTTGACGTTTTACTGCCTGCCTGCCTGCCTGCCTGCCTGCCTGCCTGCCTGCCTGCCTGTAGATAGATAGATAGATAGATAGATAGATAGATAGATAGATAGATAGATAGATAGATAGATAGATAGATAGATAGATAGATAGATAGATAGATAGATAGATAGATAGATAGATAGATAGATAGATCCTACCTACCTACCTACCTACCTACCTACCTACCTACCTACCTACCTACCTACCTACCTACCTATTCTGTGTCTGTCTGTCTGTGTCTGTCTCTCTATCTATCTATCTATCTACCTACCTACCCTGTCTGTCTGTCTGTCTGTCTGTCTGTCTGTCTGTCTGTCTCTCTCTCTCTCTCTCTCTCTCTCTCTCTCTCTCTATCTATCTATCTATCACACCTTAAAGGCTCAATTCTTCCCCTCCTGCACCCTTAATCCAAGTGGGCAAGGGAAACAGACAGACTGTAACCTTACAAGCAGGAGAGAGCACTTTTTTAGGGTTTGTCAAGCCACAGCACGCAGCCCTCCACAAGCAAAGTTCTAACGCGCAGCGCATCCCTGATCTCTCCTCAGTTCCCAAGCACTCATCATCAGGGTTTGGGACACTTTGAAGGGCTGCAAACACAAAGTCACTCGATTAAAATCAGATGCAAGCCAAATTCTCCTTGGCAGAGCAAATCCACTTCCACTGAACCAGAAGTGGAGGAGGAGGAGGAGGAGGAGGAGGAGAAGAAAAATCAAACCGCGTCCCCGGAGGAAGAATGTGCACGCATCTGCACAGTCTCCGGAACAGCGTCTAAGGTGAAGTGGTGAGTGTCAACCGTCCTTACAAGTCCCCCTGGTGATAGCTGTGCTTTTCAAGCCTTCAACATACTTTGACAGAGAAGTATAAAAACGTAAAGGTCAGTGCTACTGGTTAAGGACAAGCTGAACACAGGGGGAGAAAAACAACTTCCTCTTCCTCTGGAATCCAAAAAGTAATCTCCCCAAGGCAAAAGGAGAAGTTTGTTCCTGCACAAATATTTTATCTAAAGGTATTTTTGAAGGGCCTATGTAAGAGAAAGATCTTTACCAATCCAGGCAAAGGTCAGGAGGTCACATTCTTTAGTACAGGGGTAGTCAACCTTGGCTCTTTTATGACTCGTGGACTTCAATTCCCAGAATTCCTGAGCCAGCTTAGCTGGCTCAGGAATTCTGGGAGTTGAAGTCCACGAGTCATAAAAGAGCCAAGGTTGACTACCCCTGCTTTAGTAGAACAATCTGGATGTAAGAGCAATAGGTAATAGGCTTTTTTTGCCACCATGATGTAAAAAAGATGGTGAGACTCCGGAAAGAATGCAGAGAAGAGCAACGAAGATGATCAGGGGACTGTGATGACCAGGAATTAGGGGACAGTATTAATTGTGAATACATATAGATGGCACTTGGTCTCTAAAAGGTTCACCATCACTGATCTAGAAACTCAGTTCTGAAGCAAAGGCACAGGAAAAAAACTAAGATCTGTTAAACTCTACTTATTCTTAATAAGAAGACTATTTGCAATAATCACAAAGATAACAATCGCAGAATCTCGGATGGACATCATGTACAAGTATCCCTCTACTTATAACTATTCGTTTAGTGACCGTTCACAGTTACAACAGCACTGAAAAAAGTGACTTATTTTTCACCCTTAACAACCGTTGCAGCATCCCCATGGTCACGTGATCAAAATCCGGACTCGTGGCCCGTGACTCATATTTATGACGGCCGCAGTGTCCCGGGGTCACATGATCCCCTTTGGGGACCTTCTGACAAGCCAAGTCAATGGAGAAGCCAGATTCACTTAACAACCGTGTTACTATCTTAGCAACTGCAGTGATTCACTTAGCAACGGTGGCAAGAAAGGTCGCGAAATAGGTTAAAACTCACTTAACAACTGTTAACAACATCAGCAATTTTGGACTCTGTTGTGGGACTACCTGTACTTCTCACTAATAAGACTATTCACAAAGATAAACAGAACCTTGGATGAACATCTGTATTACCAATTATTATTCTGCTCTCAAAAAAAAAAAAAAGCTTGGAAATTATAAATACCAAATGTTAATTTGAATAGTGATGGGAAATTAAAGCTTGGGAAAAAATAAATAACAGGACATTGATTGTATATAAGGGTTGAATGCAAACACAATTAAGATGCGTATAAGCTAAAAATGATTGATAAATGGAACAGAGATGTTTTTACTTAGTTGATAATAAGAACTGTATTAGCCTAATTTGAGATAAGCCTAAGACTGAAAATCAGTCTTGTCAGATGCTATATTTTTTCTATCCTGCTCTATGGAGTAGAGAGTTGGTCTCTGACAGAAGGCCACCTGAAGAGACTAGAAGCATTTGAAATGTGGATCTACAGGCGGCTGTTACGTATAGGCTGGGTTGACAAGATCAGAAATGAGGAGGGGATAAGCCGCCTGGGAAAGCCAAGGGAAATCATCAAAACAATTAAAAAAACGAAAATTAGAATATTTCGGACATGTGATGCGACACCCAGAAAAATACGGCATACTCCATTTAATCCTCCAGGGAAAGATGGAAGGCAAACGAGGTCCAGGCAGAAGAAGAACATCGTGGCTTCAAAATCTAAGGGACTGGTTTGGACAAAACTCAGCAGCCCTTTTTCGTGCGGCTGCTGATAAAAACAGGATCGCCAACAGGATCGCCAACGTCCGATAACGGATATGGCACAAGAAGAAGAAGATATTAAGGGAAAAAGAGAGGAAACATTTGATGTTGTAACTTGAGATTTATACTAAAGACTTTTGTATGTTATTGAACTGTTGATTAATCCAGTCACCACGTTGCTTTTTAAATACTTAATTGTAAAATTAGAAATAAAATATTATATATATATATATATATATATATATATGTTTTCTGAGGTTTTTGCGGGTGTTTGTATGTAGGTCTTTAGTTATTCGGGTTTTCTCCCACGTAGAATTAAAAGTACCTTGGCGACGTTTCGACGAAGTCACATTCGTCATCTTCAGGCTGGTATCTTCAGCTTCGTGCTTCTAAGAGTGGTGTGTGATCGCAGCTGTTTCTTCCTTTTAACTGCCAGTGGGGTTGGAGCTGATTGGGTGGGAGCTTGGCTGTGTTCTGATTGGG